GATGGCTCGAGTACGTGAGTCCCTGCCATGCACATGGGTGACCCACATGGATTTCCAGACTCCTGACTTCAACCTGGTCAAGAACTGGCTGTTGCAGGCATTTGCAGAGTGAACCAGTAAATGAAAAAATGAAAATCTCTCTGAATGCCTCTCTCCCTCTCTCTTCCACTCTGCCTTTCAGATAAATAAATAATTTTTTTAAAAACTAAAAAAAAAAAAAAAAAAAAGACTGGCACCATGGCTGCCTGCAGTGCAATATCCAATATGGGTGCAGACTGGAGTCCCAATTGTTCCACTTCCAATCCAGCTCCCTTCTGGTAAGCCTGGGAAGGCAGCAGAGGGTGGTCAAAATGCTTGGGCCTCTGCTACCCGCTTGGGAGACCCTGATAGGGCTCCTGGCTCCTGGCTTCGGCCTGGCCCAGCTCTGGCTGTTGTGGCCATTTGGGGAGTGAACCAGCAGATGGAAGATCTCTCCTACTCTCTCTCTCTCTTTCTCTCTCTCTGTAACTCTGACTTTCAGATAAAGAGGTGAACTTAAAAAAAAAAAACAGACATGGACTGTTTAAATGGATTTTAGGGGAAAAAGGGTTTTAACTATATGTTGTCTATAGCATATGAATTTACTTTGCTTTTAATAACATACATATGCTGAAAATGGGGGAGGGGCAGCATTGTGGGATGGGGGCTTAAACAGAAGCTTACAATGCCAGCAGCGCATGCCAAAGTGCTGAACAAGCCCCAGCTGCTCCGCTTCTGATCCAGCTCCCTGTCAAGCCTTGGAAGGCAGCAGATGGCCCAGGTGCTGGTCCATACCGCCCACGTTGAAGACCTGGTAGTGTTTCAGGCTCCTGGCTTAGGCCTGAGCAGCCCTGTGTGTCACTGTGGCCATTTGAGAAGAGAACCAGTGGATGGAAGATCTCTCTCTCTCTCCCCCCTTCTCCTTCTCCCTGTCACTCTGCCTGTCAAATTAATTAATTAATTTTCTAAAGGAGAGGTATTTCATCCAAATGGAACCAAAAGATGATAGAGTAGCCATAATTATATCTCACAAAAGATATTTTAGGTTAAGAAAAAAAAACTGGAAAGAAGTTATATAAGAATAAAATATTCAATTCACCAGGAAAATATAAACATTATGATATCTAAGAAATGTCCAAAAAGCTTATGGAAAATGCAGATTATGGAAAAGTTATATACGGACTTCTTTTTACACCAAGATGAACTAAATTCCATTTTCCGCTAACTTTTTGATGGTGCTTCATCCATGTACTCATCATTACAATGTACCCAAAGAAGACACAAACAGTGACAGACTGAAAGCCAACCACACAACAATAGAAGGCTATCTCAGTACCCCATGTCAATAATGAAGTCCTCATGCAGACTGAAGACTGAGAACAGAGGACATGAATTTTACTGTAGACCCCATGGCCTACCAGTCATACACAGAACATTCCACCCTCAACAGAAGAACACACATTCTTCTTAAGTGCACACGAAACATTCTCCAGGATAGATCATGTCAGCCCACAAAACAAGTCGTAGCAAACTTAGGGGTATTGAAATCACACCAAGTGTCTTATAACTACAATATAATACAACTAGAAATAAATTGCAGAATGAAAACTGAAAAATTCACAAGCTGGAAACTAAGTAACACACTCTTAATCAACAGGTCAAAGGAAAAAAATTAAAAAGAGAAATTAGAAAAAATCTTACAAACCAAAATACAAACAAAAACTTTAGTTACAAACTAAAATACAAACAAAAACTTATGAGATGCAGCAAAAATAGAACTCAGAGAGGCTGGTGTTGTGGCATAGCAGGTTAAGCCGCATCCCTTAAGGGCATGGGTTCGAGTCCCAGCTGCTCTACTTCCCATCCAGCTCCCTGCTAATGGACTGGGAAAAGCAGTGGGAGATGGCCCCCTGCATCCATGCAGGAGACCTGGATGAAGTTCCTGGCTCTGCCTGGCTCAGCACGAGCCATTATGGCCATCTGGGGAGTGAACTGGCAGATGGAAGATCTCTCTATATAGAACTCTGACTTTAAAAATACATAAACAAACTCTTTAAAAAATAGAATTCAGAGGGAAGTTTATAGCTGTAACTGCTTACATTTTAAAAAAGGAAATATCTCAAATAAACAACCTATCCTTACCTTTCAAGGAACTAGAAAAACAAATATCCTGATTTTAGCAGAAGAAAGCAAATAATAGAGATTAAGCAAAAGCAAACAAAACACCTAATAGAAAAGCTGATTTTTTATAAAAGATAAACAAATTTGACATATCTTTAGCTAGACCAAGAAGAAAGAGAAGAATCAAATAAAAAAGTCAAAAATGAAAAAGAAGATATTTCAATGGATAACTCAGAAATACAAAGAATCATAGGGATGAGCTTACCAAAAGTAAACAGCTAACCTAGAGGATATGGATAAATTACAGAAACATACAACCTACCAAGACTGCGACAAGAAAAAAATAGAAAGCCTAACAGATAAATTATTAATAGAGAATGAGATAAGAATTGAGAAACTTCTAACAAAGAAAAGCCCAGGACCAGTTGGCTGCACTGGTGAATTTTCCCAAACATTTAGAGAAGAATTAATGGTGAGTCTTTTCAAACTCTTCCCAAAAAATTAAAGAGAAAATTGCCAATCTCATTGTATGAGGTCAACATGAATCTGACACCAAAACTAGACAGAAGTAATAGAACTATAGTCCAATATCCCTGATGGACATAGGTGCATAACCCTCAACACAATACTAGCCAATCAAAGTCAACAGCCCGTGAAAAAGACCATACACCATTATCAAGTAGGAAGTACCCATAGAATGCAAAGGATAGTTCGACATATGAAAATCAACGTGATTTACCACATTAATAGAACAAAGATAAAAATCCCATGATTTTAGTAGATATAGAAAAAGCATTTGGTAAATCAACATCTTTTCACAATAAAATACTCAATAAACTAACAGAAGGAAATTATTCCAACATAATAAATGTCATATATGTAAAGCCCACAGTTAACATATATTCTGGTTAAAAACTGAAGATTTTCTACCAAGATCAGGAATGAGGGAATGACACCAGTTCTTTTCAATATCTTATTGTTAGCCCTACACGGGGTAATTAGGCAAGAAAAAGAAATAAAAGGCATGCAAATCAGAAGAGGTAAAATTGTCCCTTTTGACAGATTTTTTTAAAAAGATTTATCCATTTATTCAAAAGGCAGAGTAACACAGAGGGAGGGAAAGATATATAGAATGAGAGAAATAACTATAAACCTTTATTTGATATGGGGTTAATATTCAAAATATATAAGGAACTCCTACAACTCAGCAGCAAATATTTGTATGTGTGTGTGTGTGTGTGTATAAACAGCCAGTTAAACATTGGCAAAGAAATTCTAAAATAGTCCTTTTTCCAAAGCAGACATACAACTGGCTAACAAGTATATGAAAAGATGGTCAAGATCATTAATTATCAGAGACATGCAAATCAAATCCACAATGACATATCATTTCACACTGAATAATGGGGCAGGCATTTTACCTAGCAGTTAAGATGCCACTTAAGACTCCTGCCTCGGGGCCAGCGCAGTGGAGTAAGCAGGTAAAGCCACTGCCTGCAGTACCGGCTTCCCAGACGGGCGCTGGTTCGAGTCCCAGCTGCTCCACTTCCGGTCCAGCTCTCTGCTATGGCCTGGGAAAGCAGTAGAAGATGGCCCAAGTCCTTGAGCCCCTGCACCCACATAGGAGACCTGGAAGAAGCCCCTTGCTCCTGGGTTTTGCCTGGCCCACCCCTTGCAACTACAGCCATCTGGGACGTGAACCAGCAGATGGAAGATTCTCTCTCTTCCCCCTTCCCCCACTCTGTCTCTCCCCCTCTCTCTCTCTGCAACTCTTACTTTCAAATAATTGAATAAATCTTAATAATAAGCAGCAGCAGCAATCCCATCACACCCACCACACAGGCGAAGCTTGAGTCTTATGCTAAGTGAAGTCAGCCATTCACAGAAGGAAATGTACTGCATGTGAGGTGTCTGAGGTGGTCAAACTCAAATAACAGTGGCTGCTGGAGCCTGGGAAGAGAGGAGGAGGGAGCTGCTCTCAGTACACGCACTGTCCACCATACAAAGTACAAAAGTTCAAGACACCTGCTGTATTGTTAACAATACTGTACTATACCCATTTGTAAAGAGGCTAGATCTCATGGTGTGTGGGGTTTTTTTTTTTATACCACACTTAAAAAAAAAAAGATCAAAATGTATTAACAACAGCATTTCACAAAAACAGATATCAAACGGTATAAGAAGTGCTCAGCTGGCCGGCGCCCAGGCTCATTAGGCTAATCCTCTGCCTGCAGTGCCAGCACCCTGGGTTCTAGTCCCGGTTGGGGCGCTGGGTTCTAGTTCCGGTTGCTCCTCTTCCAGTCCAGCTCTCTGCTGTGGCCCGGGAGGGCAGTGGAGGATGGCCCAAGTCCTTGGGCCCTGCACCCGCATGGGAGACCAGGAGAAGCACCTGGCTCCTGGCTTCGGATTGGCGCAGAGTGCCAGCCATAGTGGTCATTTGGGGGGTGAACCAACGGAAGGAAGACCTTTCTCTCTGTCTCTCTCTCTCTCATTGTCTAACTCTGCCTGTCAAAAAAAAAAAAAAAAGTGCTCAGCCACATAAATCATTAGGAAAATGCAATAAAAATTAACAATGAGATACCCAAGGCCAATCCACCAGGTTCACGGGTAAGGGAGAAAATACTGACTAATCCGTGTGGATGAGAATATGGAGCAATAGTAACTCACACTCTGATAGCAGTAGTATAAATGGAGAAATCATTTTGGCCATCAGTTTGGTGTAAATAAAATAAATTTTTTTATTCAAACAGACATTTTAATTGAATATGAGTTTTATAAAACCATACAAATCTTCCAAGGATTCAGAGATCAGATTCATCACAGGTACTGAAAGCAACTGAAGAAACATCACTGCATGACACTTGCAGGTGACAGTGTTTAATGTGCATCAGGTTACATGTCTACAACCAGCAGGCTAACAGATGAGCTCCTGGGACTCAGACCACATGGCAGGAATGTTTAGGGGGCGATTCCAATGACACCACAGGCCAAACGACTGCCGGCGTTCCCGGTCTTTGTACTCTCGTCATTTCCACCTTTGCCCAAGTCGTCTTCTTTCTCGTGGACCACCAGCGTGCGGCCAATGATGGACATATGTCCTGAGAGTGAGATTACAGAATCTTCAATTAACACATCAGCCACACCTTTGCTGCCTGCAGTCACATTACCCAGGTTGCCCACAGAATAAAACTAAACATACTTACACCCGCTATCTTTACTACCTGGGCTGCTTCTGTGAAATGGAGCGTTAAATCACTCTGGGGGATACACCTGCTCTGGCATCACACAGGTGATGAATTCTAAAAGTGCAGGAGATCCATGGGGCAATCTCTCCCAGAAGCCGAGGGACCGGTAAGACACTCACAGGTATGCAGGAGCAACAGGCAAATAACCATGGCTATTTATTGAGCAGCTCTCGTGCCCTGAGACACACTGTATGGTGGAGTTGGGAGGGCAATGATTGCTTACCCACCTCCTTCTCCTTTGAGTTTAGATCTAATGGGGAAATAAAGCACAAGAACCCAGAACAGGTGTTTAGCCTGGCAGTTGACACACCTGTGTCCCACAGCCGCCTGCTTGGGCTCAGATCCCAGATCCCACTCCGCACTCTAGCGTCCTGCTTATGCCGACCCTGGGAGATAACAGTGATGGCTCAGGTAGGTAGCTTTCTGCCACCCATGGGAGAGACCTGGATTGAGTTCCCAACTTCAAACTTCAGCCCGGCTCAGCTCCAGGCATTGTGCATTGTGGGCATTTGGGGAGTGAATCAGTGGATGGCCTCTCTCTCTCTCTCTCTCTCCCTTCAACTAAATACATGAGAACATGAGTATAACCGAGAACAGCAAGCTGACTGGAGGTGAAGCTAATTGGGGAATAGGAGTCTATTATAGGCTCTACGAATGAAAGTCCTTTCTTAATCACAGACAAGGGCAGGACACCACAGGTGTGTTCCGGGGGCAGGCCAGCTCAGGCATCTCAGAACTGAATTGCCCTGGGTCTGGCGTTGTGGTGCAGCAGGTAAAGCCACCGCCTGTGAACCGGCCATCCCATATGGGCGCCACTTCCAGTCCAGCTCCCTGCTAAGGCGCCTGGGAAAGCAGAGGAAAAGAGCCAAGGTCCAAGTCCAGAGAGCCCCTCTTCGAGCTGGGAAAGCACACGGAGCCGCCCGTTTTCCCAGGGGCTCCTCGGGATGCATCGGCTCCAAGGAGCTGCATGTAGTGTTACCACCACGGACCTGAAAAGGGTCGGGACCACCTGCCATTTCTAACGTTCAACACTGACGAAGAAACAGGTGTACATAAGATTGAAGGATCTCACTTTATGTCTTCCCTGGTACTGAACGTTCTCTCGGCAACACCCAGGATGGAACACTGCCGGAATGGACAGCCAGATTCTCCGCATAGATCAAGAATTCAAACAGCGCATCACTTAGCCATCCCACCCCTCGCCCCACGGTGAGGCAGCTACCATCTGCGTTTGCGGATGAGGGAACGGGGCACAGAGAGGCTAAGCGGCCTGGCAGGGTCATACAGCAGAGGAGCACGTTCGACCGGGATTTGAACGCCCGCCCTCTGGCTGCGGAACCCGTGCGCTCCTGCGGGCGGCGAAGCCAGGCCCGCAGCTGGCACGCGACGCGGGCTCTGCGCACCGCGGCTGCAGTACGTGCGGCGCGCTGGTGGGCTCCCGGCATCGCCGGGCGTGCGGCTGCGAGGGCGTCTCGGGGGCTCGCGCTGGGGACCGCACCCTGGGGTCCTGCGGGGGGCCTGGAGTAGGGTGCCAAGGGAGGGTCGCGCTCCGCGCCTCCGCCGCCGGGGGGCGCTGCCGGCGGTCCCCGCGTCCAGGCGTGCCGCCGCCTGCAAGATGTCGGTGTGCCGAAGCCAGCGGCCGGCGCGGCCCGGGACCCGCCTCACCTGGCTGCTGTGCTGCAGCGCCCTGCTGTCGCCCGCCGCGGGGTACGTGATCGTGAGCTCGGTGTCCTGGGCCGTCACCAACGAGGTGGACGAGGAGCTGGACAGCGCCTCCACCGAGGAAGCCTTGCCCGCGCTGCTGGAAGATTCTGGCAGCATCTGGCAGCAGAGCCTCCCGGCCTCGGCACACAAGGAGGACGCGCACCTGCGGCCCCGGGCGGGAACCGGCCGCTCCAGGCCGCCCCCTGCGCCGCCGGGAATGTTCTCCTACCGCCGGGAAAGCGGCCCCGCTGCGGGCGCGGCCCCTGGCCCGAGGCTGCACGCCGGCACCGCCCGCTCCCTGGCCCACGCCAGCGCCTGGGGCTGCCTGGCCACCGTGTCCGCCCGCGAGCAGGTAAGCCACGCGGGCCCGGCGCGGGCTGCAGGTGCACCTCTCGCGGCGGCAGTCTGGCGGCGCGCCTAGGGCACCGGGAGGAGCTGGCGACAGGGCGGGTAGTCGGATCCAGACATGCCCCGGGAGCGGCAGAGGGCCATGGACATCGTGTGAATGATGGAACCGGGTTGTGCTTGCGCTGGCTTGGCAAAGTGTCTGTGTCGGGGCCGGGCCGGGAGCGCTGAAAACCAAGCTGCCTGCCAGGTAGTTGGGGACCGGATCGATCTAAAGATGGCTAGAGTGACATGCGAGCAACCCGCGTCTGGCCAGAGACCCAGGCCAGCGTCGCCTTTGGAACCGCAGAACAGGCGCCTACAGCCCCTCCCCGCGCGGTCTCACGGCCCCGTCACTTCCCGACACCCAAACGAGGCAGGAGTGGGGAGCAAGACACCACCCAGGCTCTAATGGAAAAATTAGATTTTGAAAAATGGGATTCTAGAATTTTTCTGGATGGCGAGCTAACAGCTCCGGGAGGGGCCGCCGGCTGCTGCGGTTTCTAGTGTTCAGTTCACAGGTGTTTACTCTCCTGTTGGACACTTTTCCGGCTGGAAGGACGTGAGTGTACACCCGCAGAAAGCCCCTGAGAGCCGATGAGATAGATGTAAGGGTGGAACTGCAGAGCAGTAATTCGAATTGCTATTTCTTTTATACAGAAAAGAATATACCCTTAGGGATGCACGGGGAGGGGGGGCGGGGGGGCAGGTTCCTGTCCTGTCCCAGCTCTGGGTCTCACCAGCGGGAGACTGTGGCTGCGACATCGGCTTCTACCCTTGACATTCCTCGTCTATAAAATTCGGCAGTTAGTTACTAGGGAGCTGTGAAGGTTCTTTTTTTGCAAATAAGATTACCTAAATGACAGCTTTACTCCAACTATGGCAGTGATCTCAACCCCTTTAGTATGGGATTCAGAGCCAGTTGGATCTGAGCTGGGTGTTCAGCGTACCCAGTGGTTTCTCTTAGTTAGATCTTGCACTCCTAAGACACACCTTAAGATACAAAGTTGACATACGAATCTGAGCTTGGTGTGAAACAAACCTAACCAAGCAATTAAAAGTTGAGTTGCCAGTGTATTAGAAAGATTTTGACTTTCAGCATGCCTTTGCCTAGCTCTGTTAAGAGTCTCCCTTTCCAGTATTGACGTTCAATTTAAACTCATCAAATTCAGAAAGTATTTGCATGTATGCAAAGCATGACTCTGGGTGGTTTCTGACAAGCTGAAAAACAAGCTGTGAGTGAAGGACACTATCATTTTGGTGAATTCCTTCAGGGTATCCCTTTTACAGCCCCACACCCTGTTGTCATGCAACACTTTAAATTCTAGCATCAAAACCTTAGGGGCAGGGCTAGCACTGTGGCACAGTGGGCAAAGCCTCTGCCTATGATGCCAGCTTCCCACATGGGCACCGGTTCGAGTCCCGGCTGCTCCAATTCTGATCCGTGTCCCTGCTAATGGCCTGAGAAAAGCAGCGGAAGGTGGTCCAAGTGCGTGGGCCCCTGCCACCCATGCCAGGATGTAGCAGCTGGCTCCTGGCTTTGGCCTGACCCAGGCAGGAACATTATGGCCATCTGGGGAATGAACCAGACTATGGAAGACCTCGCTCTGTCTCTCCATGACTCTGTGTGACTCTGCCTTTCAAATAAATAAATAAAAATACGTCTTTTAAAAAGAAATCCTTGGAGAAAGAGCTGACAGCAGTAGGGCTCTCAGGGGCACTTCTGTGACAGGCTTGACACAATCCATTCCCTAATTAATGTGAAATTCATTCAAGTGAGAGGATTTGGCTGCACACAGGCAGCTTCGAGAAAAGTCCTTACCCCATCCCTTCCAGACAGGGTGCCACTGCAGCGCGTGTCATAGACAAAGCCTGGAGCCATCGCTGGGAGCTTCGGGCAGGTTGGGAACTACCTTGCCTGTATTATTACTGTGAAGCTGGGGTGCCCTCCCCAACTCCCCAGTGCTGTACTTCCTGTCCAGAGACACGAGGCGAGCCCCTAGCTCGTCAGCCCATGATGCTTTAATGAAAAGGCCATTTTTGGTGTTTGTTAGATCCAAGGACTGCCTTTTGGGAACTGCCTGCCCGTCAGTGACGGCCCCTTCAACAACAGCACCGGGATTCCTTTCTTCTACGTGACGGCCAGGGACCCCGTGGTGGCCGATCTGGTGAAGAACCCCATGGCCTCGTTGACGCTGCCCGAATCCGAGGGGGAGTTTTGCAGGTACGCAAGGGTTTGGCTTTGCATGCACAGGTCCTGGGGAGTCTTGAGGAGAGAGTCAGACATGGACGCCCTTCTGAGTCACATGGCCTTAACAGAACCTTGATATGCCTACTGATGTCTTTGCCCTTGGAGTTGGATAAATTAGAATTCCCCCTCTCAATAAATGGTCGATTTAGAACAAGTTACCTAACCTTTGTCAGCCTCAGTTTCCTGGTCTGTAAAATAGGAATGCAGCCGTCCTCCACTTTTGATAACGTTGTGTCCTGATCAACCCTCTATAAACTGAAAATATCATAAGCGGAAAATGCATTCAGCACACCTAATTCACAAAACAGTGTAGCTCAGCATCACTTCCCTCACACGTGCTCAGAGCACTTACATTGGCCTACAGTAGGGCAACATCATTTAACATGAAGTCTAGATTATAAAAAAGTGTTGGCTATCTCATATGATTTGTTGACTAATAGACTGAGAATGAAAAAACACTGTGAGGCCAGCACCGCGGCTCACTAGGCTAATCCTCCGCCTTGCGGCGCCGGCACACCAAGTTCTAGTCCCGGTCGGGGCGCCGGATTCTGTCCTGGTTGCCCCTCTTCCAGGCCAGCTCTCTGCTGTGGCCAGGGAGTGCAGTGGAGGATGGCCCAAGTGCTTGGGCCCTGCACCCCATGGGAGACCAGGAGAAGCACCTGGCTCCTGCCATCGGATCAGCGTGGTGCGCCAGCCACAGCACGCCGGCCGCAGCAGCCATTGGAGGGTGAACTAATGGCAAAAAGGAAGACCTGGCCGGCGCCGTGGCTCACTAGGCTAATCCTCTGCCTTGCGGCGCCAGCACACCGGGTTCTAGTCCCAGTCGGGGCCTCGGATTCTGTCCCGGTTGCCCCTCTTCGAGGCCAGCTCTCTGCTGTGGCCAGGGAGTGCAATGGAGGATGGCTCAAGTACTTGGGCCCTGCACCCTATGGGAGACCAGAAGAAGTACCTGGCTCCTGCCATCAGATCAGCGTGGTGTGCCGGCCGCAGTGCACCGGCCGCGGCGGCCATTGGAGGGTGAACCAACGGCAAAGGAAGACCTTTCTCTCTGTCTCTCTCTCTCACTGTCCACTCTGCCTGTCAAAAAAAAAACAAACAAACAAAAAAAAACAAAAAACAAAAAACACTGTGGTTTTGCTATATGGCTAGTCCCGGAAAAGGTAAAAATCTCAAGTGCAATTTTTACTGCGTCATTGTAAAGCTGAAAATAATTAAGGAGAGCCACTGTAGGTCGAGGATGTCTGTAATAATCTCTGCCTTATCCTAGGGTTCACTGAGAGTGTTGGACACAGGGACACAGTGCCTTGCCCAGAAGTGGGTGGGTGAAATGCAGCTGTTGGCATTGCAGACAAGGACTGCGGGCTGGCACCGGAGGAGCCGGCAGCTTCTCTCCCCACACATGCAATACACAGCTTATTGTTTTTCCAGTTCGTTTTTATCCCTGCATCTGCCATAAAGAACCGGCAACCTCTGACCCACTTTCCCAAGCCTTCTGATGGTATTTCAGCACAGGTGGAGCATTGATCCAGACACCTTTGTCTGAAGGCAAAATTGCAAAGCTTGAAGTTCCCTACTGAACAGGAAATGGCCACACAGAGCTGGTGTGGTGGCTGCATTGCGAGCCCTGCCGTGCCCCACCCCATCTGGTGGTGAGGTGGCCTGGGTGAGTCCTCTAACCTCAGGGCCTCCAGTGACATTCCCTGTACAATGTGGCGATGCCGTGCCATAGAAAATCAATTGGCTTCATCTCCCCTCTGAAATTCTACTGTTCTCTATGAGTAGCGTGAAAATCCCAGTAGCCAAACAGTGTGGTCATTCTTCCAGGGCTAATAAGAGCAAGTGTGTGCTGTAGAGGGCAGCCTGCAGGTGACCCTGTCATTCCCTTGGCAAGTGGGGACCCTTCAGCCCACCCAGTTCTCTGTCAGGTTGTGACAAAAAGCCAGGAAAAGAAATGTTCCCTTTGTCAGGGAATATTTTCCCTGGTTTTGGTAAGTCAGGCTTGCTGTTGGTAGACATATATTCCCAGGATTCCTTTCTTAACCTCTCAAGGGTGTCCTACTGCACATGTCCTAAAACCAGTCATGCTGGAACATGTTGATGCCAGAACCCAGACACGCCTGCCCTGGGAAACAGACAAGCGAACATAGATCCATGAACGAGGCTACCACGCCCCTCCACCTAGGGAAAGACTCATCCACCGACAGGTCCCAGCAGGGCTGAAAGCAGGAAGTAGTGAGAGGAAAGAGATCTGAGAGCCCTGTGCCTCTGTGAGTGATGGGAGGCAGGATGCTCCTAGAGGAGCCACAATGATACAATGTAGGATGTCAACTCATTGGGGTTCTGCTTAGCTAGGATGTGTAGTAGGGTACATGGATTCAATGCGTTTTTGACTTAATGATGGTTCTAACTTAGGGTGTGTTCATCAGGACATAACCCTATTGTACATCAAGGGGCATCTGTTTGTACGACAGTCTGTTGAGTAAGGTGCTATATTTTTATATATAGTTTGCTACAAAACATGCCGTAAAGGGGGAACTTCTGTTACCGGTGAATGGCAGGGTTCTTGTCTTCGCGCAAGAAAGAATTCAGGCGTGAGACAGAGAGTAGTGGAAAGTAAAGTAACAAAGTTTGTTAGGGAAAAGGACATCCGTAAGAACGGATGGGCACCTCTCCAGACAGGACCTGAGAGAGAGTGCCTAGTCGCTCAGACAGGGGGTGGGGGAGGAGCGAGGTTACATGGTTGAGTGGGGAGATTACACCTGGGCAGGCAGGCGGGCGGCTCAGCATAGAGGCAGAGGGCTGAGCGCGCCATCCGGTTTTAAAGGAGATGGGTCTTTGTCTTCACACATCTCCTCCTGAAACAAAGGATTTTATGGAAGTAAATATTAAGAAGCTCCTATCTGAGTTTTCCCCTGAAGGTATCAGACAGGAGGAAGGCTAGCTGGCACCATCCTGAGTTTAGAGGAAGGGTGAGCAGGACCCCCTGGATCCAGAGCAGGGTATTTGAAATGCAGATACTGTGCTGCATCTGGGAGATTGTGGAAAATTTGTCAGGCAGAAGGGGCGGGGACCCCCACCTGGCAGGTTATCGGGTAGAAGGGGCAGGGCAGGATGCAAACACTGGGCTGCCCCTGAAACGTTATCAGGATGACTTTGAGATGCAGATGCATATGCTGGACATAGATGTCTTTTCTTTAGGCCTTTGTCACACACACATAAGCTCATATCTGACTTCCTAACTAACACTTCCACATTCTTGGGGTAGAAGAGTGAATTTCAACTGCTTGGAGGTCAGGGATGAGAGGGACCAATTAATGATCTGGGTCGCGGGCCGGCGCCGCGGCTCACTAGGCTAATCCTCTGCCTTGTGGAGCCAGCACACCGGGTTCTAGTCCCGGTTGGGGCACCGGATTCTGTCCCGGTTGCCCCTCTTCCAGGCCAGCTCTCTGCTGTGGCCCAGGAAGGCAGTGGAGGATGGCCCAAGTACTTGGGCCCTGCACCCCATGGGAGACCAGGATAAGTACCTGGCTCCTGCCATCGGATCAGTGCAGTGCGCCGGCCGCAGCGCACCAGCTGCAGCGGCCATTGGAGGGTGAACCAACAGTAAAGGAAGACCTTTCTCTCTGTCTCTCTCTCTCACTGTCCACTCTGCCTGTAAAAAAAATTTAAAAAAAAAGAAAGAAAAAAAAAGATTCTAAAAAAAAAAAATTATCTGGGTCGCCTCGCCCCTCCCCCAGCACAAGGACCAGAGCCTCTTGGAAACAAAGGTTTATAGCCTAAAGGAGCTATGGATTGCTTCTGACACTGCTTTAGAAAAATGAGAACATAGGGGCTGGTGCTGTGGCACAGCAGATTAACACCCTGGCCTGAAGCGCTGGCATCTCATATGGGCACCAGTTTAAGTCCCGGCTGCTCCACTTCCTATCCAGCTCTCTACTATTGCCTGGGAAAGCAGTGGAAGATGTCCCAAGTCCTTGGACCCCTGCACCCACATGGGAGACCTGGAAGAGGAAAATGAGAACATTAAGTGGATTTCCAGGAATGGTCTGCTAGGAACTGTGGTTTAGCCCCAGGATGGCTGTTGTCATTTGTAAGGTCCAGTCAAAATGATAGCGTGACATAAAGACACATATTGCATGATGTGACTTCATATGTGGAGTCCAAGGGAGTGGAACTCCCAAAAGCCAGGAGTAGCACGGTGGTTGCAGGGGCAGGGAAGTGGAGGACACAGGGTGGATGTTGGTTGACGAAACACTTTCAACTTTGAGTTATAAGATGAACAAGTTCTGGTACAAGTTTAAGGTGCAGCATGGTTGGTGATGGAGCTCTTTTTTGACTGCAGCAATCATTACAAAGCGTATGTGTAAATCAAATCGTATCGTACACCTGGAATATATTACATCTTTATTGGACAAGTCAATATTTTAAAAGGTAAAAAAAAAAAAAAAATGACAGTCTGAAAAACCTAGAACGGGAGGCGGCTTTCCCACTTGTCAAACATGACTTCCATCCAAGCCAGAATCCACAAACATGTCTTGCCTGATAATCGTTAGCTTACTTAATGTCTGTTTTATTCAATTAATCTGTTTACTCTCGGGTGATGTGATTTCTTCATTAACTAATTGGATAATTAGGGGTGGGAATCTACTTTCTAGCAAGATGGCAAATTGAAAAGAAGATTCTAGCTTAAAAGATTCTGACCATCAGCCATCCTCCCCCCCCCCCTTTATTTCTCTCTCCTGTCAACGCCCATGGACATGGACAGGTGCCTACAACTAAGTGATCAGGGCCCAGCTGTGTGAAAATTCAATAGATTTTGATGGATAAAGACCACTTGAGCGATGCAACCTCTTCCCTTGTAGAGCTGGGTGCTTGCACACCATAGGTTTTCCATTTGTATCTTCTTAGTGCAGCAGGGCTGGCATGGGGTCAGGGTGGGAGGCGGGAGGATGGGGGAACTCTTCTGCATGATG